CGTAATAAAGGTAAAAAAAAACGTAAAACATACTACCTACTATATATATATATATATACGCATATATTTACATTCCAACGTTCTTTCGTCTTAATTTTCATTTCTATTAATTACGTTTCTCTCTTTTCCCCCCTAATCATTAATGTACAGGAAAATTTTTGCAAATCTATCTGATATGCGACGTATTCCAAATTAATTTCCAATCCTTCGGAATCGCACACCGTGGAATTAATATTCCACGTTCACATTGTGGATTTCGTCCCCTCTCTCGTAAATCCATTAGACAGCCCCGCAAGGGACGCAGGGAAGATTCTACGCTCGTTCTACATCGTTCTGGCTGGCGTTGATTCTATTTCCCGATGACAGGAACAGAAATGTAACAAGTTTGGCCGGGGAGGCGCGAGTCGCTTCGACGCTTATCCTCTTCGAGATAAAACGTATAGAATGGGCGAAACTTTTCGATGACGTGAAAAGAAGAAGCGCGAGTTTGTTATTGGAACGCCACAACGGGACAACGTGTTTCCAACGTGTTTTTATTTAATTAAATCCAGTGTCGATACCAGTCGTTCCATCGGTTACTTTTCACGATACGATCGTGAAATTACACATACGTGTGCGTGCGTGTGTGTATATTGTCCGTGATTCATGGCGATTCTGTTTCTTCGAGATGGGATCTATGGGGGGGAGGAATTTTTATAACTTAGAGATTTAAGGCGAGAATCAGGAATAAGGAAATTCGATTCGAAGGCTTTCGCGGTTTTCGAGTTTGAACATTTTTCAAAAGTGAAATCAATCAATTCTCCGATGGAAGATTATTCTGATTGTGAATATAAGCAAAAAATGCAGAATATATTTTTTTCCGTTTAAAAAATTGGTTTTCGGAAGAAAGTCAAATTTTAAATTTTCACCGATCGTTCGAATCTTTCTTAATTCTTTGACTGCGTACGATGAACAATTGATTAATTTTTATTTGAAAAATTTCACTTCCGTATTTTTATTTTACAAGCCATAAAATCTATTTCTGACTCTCATCAAAGTCAAATTTCGTCGAATTGTATTTTTCCTAGGTGAAAAAGAGGTCAGAAATTCTTTTCCTCTTTTTAAGGTTATATATAATAATATACGACAGACGTGAGCGTAGAATTAATCGAGAGAAATTGATTCAATTTCAGAGCGGAGGAGTCAGAAATTCAGCGCGCGGTTAAAATCACTATCCGTGGAAACCGAACGCTGGCTAAATGATCATGAAAAGAAGTAGGATGAGGGTAAGTAGGGTCGCAGCCATTCTGTCGCCGCTTCCGTGATGCATCGCCGCTGGATGCTCTGCAACAAACGGAATTTACGATGTGATGCAAAAAAAAACGCTATTTTTCCTTCCCCATTGGATCGGTGACGAATTACACCGATAAGACAACGCTAGTTATCCAGAGCGAGACTGTAGAGGAGAGAATGAATCTCGTTTCTCGACACTTTTTTCTCTTATATTATATTCATTGGATAAGAATATATGGGTTAAATTAAGGATCGAAATAACAATCGTTTTTCAGTTATTTTGTATATATTTATATTTTTTTTCATATTAGTCGATATAAATCGCTATTCTCCGAGGCAAATGAAAAATAATCGAAAATCGAGCGATTTGCTACGTGAATTCCGAGAGAAACAAATTCAATTTTGACGAAAACGCGAAAAAAAACTTGTAGGCGTGTTAAAAAGTTGAAAACAAACGTTCGACATCGGCATCGTTATGTTTCGAGCAATTAAACTTAATTGTACGGACGAGCGTCGTCCTCTAATATCGTTCGAGCGATGCGTAAATGAAATTTCTGAAACTTGCGAAACTGTTTGGAACGCGGCGCGTTTACTCGCGGCAAACTCTTCCGCCCGAAGTTTGTTCGGGATGTCGCGCGAAAGGGGGGCCCGGCCCCAACTTGTACGCGACCGAAGATTTCATTTTGATTACGCCGCTTTACGAAAACTCGTTTGCGCCGTGTTTCAAGCGCCACACCTCGGCAACAAAACGAATTAAGATAATGCCCGCGTATTGTAATAACGTCGCTCCTTTCCGCGATCCAAAACACGCCGATATTTAATTTTAAAGCGGTCGCCTACTATTCGGGTCAATGCGATGCAAAACCATTCTCAATCGATTTTCTACGGGGGAGGAGGAAGGGGGGGGGCGAAACATTTAAGCATTCTCGTGAATTTTTTCGATTTGGACAAGATTGGATCTTGGATCATTTTTAAAGATTTGTAAAGGAATCATCAAAGAACGATATCGAATGTAGTTTAATCGTGACAAGCAATAATTTGTAACATTTTCTGGAATATTGTCGCAGTGACATTTCGATTGATCGCCTAAACACGAAATATAGGAAAGTTTTTATTGATAATAGCTATTCGATGTTATTAACCATTTCGTACGTATAAAGAATTGTATCCACGAACAATTGAATTAGAATTTTTCCGCTCAAAAAAAAAAAAAAGATACATAAAGTATTAATATACATTAATTTATCGTCAAATAACCGGTTCCAACAGTCATTTTTCGTTTCTAAAATCTCTAAAACCAATCCTCGAGAAAAGACGGTCCACGAAAATACTTTCGTCGGAACGATGCAATATTCGAAATGACAATAACTATTCTAATTGTATTCATCCAATTTTCGAAGAAGAAGAGAGCAAGATTAGAGATCGAAATTTGTTCTCTTTCCATTTACCATTTACGATATGGACGTGCACACTGCTCGGGTGGGTGTTGCTCGGTGAGCACGTGTACAAGCCGGCGTCTCTCTCGATCGCCTTCTGGATCAGCAAACGGCTGGAAGTCACGGGTCCCTTCTCCGTGACCAAGCTGATCCCGCCCCTCGGCGAGTCGAAGTTAATCGCCTGCGAAACAGAAAAGAAGACGGACAGAGCGCGCCTAGCATTACAGCTGCAACCGAATAGAGCCACTCGAGACAAGGGAGGGGAGGACAAGTGTCGTTCCCCGAGTGGCGAGATCCATTCCAACGGAACAAATGCCTTTAAAACACGTACTGAAGATCCCGCGCTCCTCGACCGGCTACCCATCCCCCTTCCGTATTTTTAAGTAAACGGGCGCGATCGATAATAATGGACTGAAGTTTTATTTTATTCTTCATTTCTATTAGGTGGATTTTTTTTTTTGATGAATTTAATTCGGCCTTGATGTTTATTTGTTAAATGCAATAGTTATTTATAGATAAATGTTATTAGTTTGATCAAGATAACAAGTTTGGAGTTTGGCTAAAGGGAT